AAAAGGAGATAATTTACAACTCAAATCAGGTTTTGCCCTAAAATTAATCCTAATATTCCCCTATAAATTGCAACAAGTTTCACATTCCATGTTAATGAAAGAATACAATCTTAGCTCAGGATCCTGCTTGCTTCTTGACAAAAGGAATTCTTTTCCCATGTTAATCAATGATTCCACCATTCCTTTTTTCTTCTAAACTAGTTGGACTCTAGCAAGAGATTAGAATCTAACAAGATACTAGCATTATCCTACATTTTCTTCATCATGAATGTTGACCCTATGATAATTCACCAAACTAATACGTTATTTTCTAAAGGGACCACAATTTTTCCAACACAAAGATACCAAACTCAAACCCAACCAAATTAGTCAGTACTTTCCCCAACAGAAATCAGCCCTCCGAAGTTTCACTTGTTGAAACAAAAGAATGCCAAGAGAACAGGTTAACTTGAAAACTCTTAAGATGGATATTATCTTTTTCATGTAACTCTTAAGATGGAACGTAACAGGGGTAAGGAACACAACAGAAAGGCAAATCATCAAGAGCATTGTTAGAAAGGCCAAACAAGACATGTATCATGCTCCAAGAGAAACAAAGATTATTAAGTTTGACAGCATGTGGACCAGAAGCATTTGGTCTTCCAGAAACAAAAATTGGGTAATAGCCCCACCTCTTGGGGCTTCAAGAGGTCAGCTGATAATGTCTTTTCCATGGACAGATCTAAAGCTCCAGGACCAGATGGGTTTACAATGGCTTTCTTTCAAGATTGTTGGGATATAGTCAAAGAAGATTTATTTGAGGTCTTCAAGGAATTTGCGAATAATCAAGTGATGAGTCGGGGAATTAATGCTACTTTCTAGCCTTAATTCCGAAAAAGAAAGAGGCCAAGCATCCAAAGGACTTTAGACCTATCAGTTTGGTGACTAGTGTTTACAAGATTGTGGCAAAAGTCTTATCTTTGAGGATAAAATAGGTACTTCCTTGTCTTATTAGCCAAGCGCAAGGAGCTTTTGTTCAAGGGAGACAAATTGTAGATCAGATTCTAATAGCAAATGAATGTGTGGAGGAGATGAGGAGATTGGGGCGTAAAGGTTATGTTTGTAAACTTGACCTTGAAAAGGCCTATGACTTAGTGGATTGGGGATTCTTATCACTCGTGCTAAGGAAGTGTGGGTTTGGGGATAAGTGGTGCAAATGGATAAACGGTTGCCTCTCTAGTTTCCATTATTTCATCCTAGTCAACAGGGTAGTCACTGATTTTTTCCCAGCTAGTAGGGGTCTACGACAAGGTGATCCCATGTCACATTTCCTTTTCACCTTAGTCGCCAATGTTTTTAGTAGACTCCTTTCAGAAGCAGATAGAGCCGGATCTCTAAGAGGGTGGAGAATAGGTAGAGACAGAGTATCAGTAACCCATCTCCAATTTGTAAATGACATAATAATCTTTTGCGAAAGTTGTGATTTGACAGAGGTAAGGAATCTGAAGGACTTTAATAATTCACTTTGCGAAAGTTGTGTTGTGGGGGTTAATTTGAATAGAGAGGAGGTGGAGTCTAGCAGCCTTGTTAGAATGCACTTGCTCTTAGTGGCCTCTATCCTACCTAGAACTTCCTCTAGGTGCAAACCCAAAGGAAAGTAGGTTCTGGAATCCGATGGTTGAAAAATTTGAAAAACGATTGGCAGCTTGGAAGAGGAACTACATCTCCGTGTGTGGTAGAGTTACTTTGATTAAAGCAACTTTAGCCAACTTGCCTTTATACTTCCTGCCAGTCTTTAGAATTCCTAAAAGGGA